TAAAGAGTTTAATGCCTCCAAAAGCTCCATTACAGAAAATTCTTACATGAAATATGTACAAAAACACTGCTTTGCAATAGTTTTGCAATACTATTTTGGCCTAAAATGTATTTCTGTAGGTTCATTGGTAGTTTTGGATAGTAAATAAAATGTACTGTAGACATGCTGACCCCTGGTTCCTGTCACCACCACTGTAAAGAAATCAGCATGAGCAAATTTCACTACAGTGAACCAATTCATATCAAACCACAATGAATGACTTAACATCTCAACCAGTGAATTATGCAGCAATTTTGAAATATCAGTGGAATTCCCCTTTAAGTCCTTGTAGAGATGTGACCTATTTTTACTTAGAAAACCAACAAAATGTGTAATTTCACGAGGGTTGTTCAAACTTTTGCACACAACAGTATAATAATGCATAATTAACGTATGTATGTGGTTGAGATAAGGGCTGGCTGAAAGGTAACAGCTGTTCAACTTTAACATCTTCAGAACCCCAAACATGTCCAGCCCACCCAGCCCTCCCCCAAGTTTATTTATCATGTCCAGACTGAGGGTCCTGATCAATAGTTTTAATCTGGACTTAAACGTATTGACTCGGCCTACTGGCCGGCCATTCCCACACATTAACCCAGTCCATCAGAGTGTGGAACAAATGCGGACGCCCACCCTCACACACACACTCACAACATACACGGTCTATCACTCCTCACCTGGGTGGGCGACAGGTTAATACCCTGCCAATCTCTCGAACATCACTGCTTTATTCTCTCTCTCAAAGGGCTTCGCCAGTTCTACAACACTTTTCTAATACTCTCTTTTATTGACAAGACTGATTTACAATGGTTACTAGAACATTTTTTTTCTTAATGCTCATTTGCTGCTCTTTCCATTGTGTGAACATTACAAAATGGACCAATAAAAACAATCGAAAAATGTACATTTAAAAAGTACATTTAAAGCTATATTGTGTAGGTTTTGTGCATTTGGAGACCTCTCTGGTGGTATTGCGGGTTGGTCTTCAGACCTCTTTCCTGAGCGCTGTGAGCGCCAGTTCGATCCCCTGAGCCAACAGTACGTGACTGAGGTGCCCTTGAGCAAGGTGCCTAACCTCCAACTGCTCCCCAGGCGCTGTGGATAGGGCTGCCCACCGCTCTGGGCAAGTGTGCTCACTGCCCCCTAGTGTGTGTCTTCACAAGTGTGTATGTGGTGTTTCACTGCACAAATGGGTTAGATTGCAGAGGTGAAATTGACCCATTGTGGGACCAATAAGGGTCACTTAATCTAATCTAAACATCTAGCTGGACCTTCTATTTGAGCCTGTGCATGTGATATCAATACATAAAGATGTATGACGTGGTCAAAAAAAGTCCAGCGAAATCTGACCTGACATCTCAGACTTTTAAATCAATGTTTCAGGTTTTACAGGGCAGCAGCGCTTTCACACTGTATTATAGCAGCCTTTTTCTCCTGACTCAGTAATGCTGCTTTTTTCCATTTTAACAGGAAAACCTTACACAATGCATCTTTAAGTCAAGATGCTGTTTTGAATTTAAATGTATCCTTTTATGCGTTCTAAAGCCTCCCTCCCACTAACGCTGATGTGGTGCAGAGTGTTGTTACTGCAGACAGTCTTTAGAGTTATTAAGGTGGAAGATGTGGTGAAAAGATTAAACAGCTTTCCAACTCCTTTCAGCCGGGACTGCTTTTTGAATGAAGCACAATTCTGTCTTAACGGCATTAGCCTGTTTTAAGGGATAAAAAGAGACTGTAATTCATGTAAAAATGAATTATGGCTGTTTTTTGGTAGATAAAACTACAAAACTACAAAAGTCTTCAGATTAAATTAAAAAATACTTGACAAATTAAGGATGCAGGCTTTTTAATTCTTATATGTGGATTACCCTACAGTTACGATGATACTGCAATTGAACAATACCTTTTACAAACAACTGCCTAATAAAAATGAGCAAGGATACTGTCGCATGCAAAAGTTTGAACAGCCCCTGTCAAATTGCATGTTTTGTTGATTTTCTAGGTAAAAATAAGCTAAGACATCCACTATAGAGAACAAATTTAATTACGTTCATATTACTGTCACATACAAAACCTCAAAAAAGAAGGTCCAGCTTCATATTTAGGTCTCAAATGCAAAATAAACATATTTTTTGCTAATTTTACTGCATAATGTATATTTATTTGCTCTCTTTCTATACAATATAATGATGTGCCGTAACTTTTGCATAGGCCACATTTTATGCAAAATTATTTCCCAATATGTTAGATTTAGCTAATAAACAGTACAAACTGTACATTAAAATGTGCAGAAGTGTGTCTCTGTAGAGGATGTGTTCACTTCTTTTCACTTAGAAAACCAACAAAACATAACTTGACCAGTGGTGCCCACGTTTTTGCACACATATGTATAAGGAAGCCATGTTGAGCAGTTCTGCTTTCAACTGTGATCTGTCAACAAGGAAAACACGTACAAAGTAAAGGTCATGAGGTTTAAATACAATAAGACTGACAGGTGAAAGATATTGTATCTAACCAGATCACATACAAGAGTTTTGACTGGTGAGGTTTTCACATTGACCTTTACTCCCCCTAGTGGTCACAGTGAAGAGCAGCTTTTACCAGTAAATGCACAGATTGCAGATTGCAGTTGTGCGAAAAGGCAAAAATAGAGGCACACTCACTAACTAACACACACACACACACACACACACACACACACACACACACACACACACACCACCATACACATCTTAACTCATCTAAATCTGCACTTTGAGTTAATTATCTACTAACTGCTCGGCGCGCTGCTCTCTGAAGGGAGACCTTTTATCACCATATTGACGTGTGTGTGGCTGAAGGTCAGACGCTTTCTGTCTAAGCTGAGACTCCTAACATCCGTCTAAGCGTGCGTGAGAGGTTACAGACCACAGAACGTTCCCTGCAGCCATGGTTAACCTGTCAGAAATGTGCATGAGTCTAATGAAACCACAATTTAAACACGCCACAGATCTTTCGGTCATTTAGTAGTCTCTGTTTTTCAGGAACTGTTCATAAAGACTGGTGCATGAAAACTCATTTGAGGAGGAAAATTGGCCACTAAAAAACATAAAAGCCATTTCCACAGAACTAAAACAGGATACAGAGCCAAATGGTTATACACAGAGATCAATAGGGCTTGGGTACCTTATGTTTACTTTGAAGTGCTATTCTAGATAAGGATAAAACAGATAAATAAGACAGCAGAAAGGCTGACATCCAGTCTTTTTCAGCCTGGAGCAGCACTCCATCTGGTGGTCGCAAACTATTCCTGAAGATGCTGCTCAGTATTTAAAGGCATGTTATGCTTACATTTGATTCATGTCCGAATCAAATGTACGCATAACATGCTGCTTGCTGAGGGACTTTCAACTGGCTGATTACTGCAGGCCACACCCTTCATTGCCACAATCAGGAAAAAAAATCACATAAGAAACCAGTAGTGGTGGAGAGAGACCGGCTTGCATACAGATATAAGTTATTTGTGATAGGCTTAACTTAAATGAGACATATTTTGCTCTTTTTGTAAATTAAATATAGTTCCCTGTTCTTGCTGAAAGACAACCGTGGAGTGTATAAAACAAATTCAACCTTAATTTAGCCTTTGTATGATGTGTTTTAACCTTATTTTCATTTACTGCTCTGTGAAGAAAATGTCACTTTCTGGGTGATAATTTTGTATGCAAATGACCACTGCTCTGATTGGTTGCCTCATTAGAGTGGGCAGGGTAGGGGATGTGGTCATTGTGCATTGGTGGAGAGCTCAACGATGGCTGCACCAGAGAACAGCCTTCTAAGATCACAGTCACTAAATCATGAGCATGTGAGGGTCAAGTATGTGATACACAATAGTGGCACAAATATATATGTATATGTGTGTGTGTGTGTATAAATATACTGGAACATATATTTTATTAATCTACATATATTTTATTAATCTTAATACCAGCTGCCAAGCTACACAGCTTTTCGGGTGGTATGAGAGGAAACACAAGCATGGTAATCGCTTTGTTGTCCATGTTAGGCTAAGTCTGACTCCAAAAAACGGTCATTCCGTTATGCCTACTGCCTTGAAAACAAAGTGGGCTACTTAATATCAATGGACTAGACAACAGAAGGTGATCGAGGGTCTGCTGCGTTTTCAGTTTCATTCGGAACGTAACTGAAGCATCCAAGACTGTCACTCAGTTAAACAGGCGAATTTTTGTATGGCTTGTACATCACGCTATCTGATTTATTGTTTGTGGTATGTGACATTACATCACTGTTCTACACTCTCCTGTTCATCAGAGATGTCTGTTTGTGAAACTGCAGCTGTGGCAGTGGAAGTATGAAGGCTGGGTAAGTGGGCGTGGTTATTCAAGTGGGACAGAACGTTTTCTTGATGTGATGCAGAATCAAGCATCAAATTCTACCAGCCTGTAGAATAACAAGCTTTCTGAAAAAGGCAAATATGCCAAAAGGGTAGAGACTTCAGATTTTGTGGATGGTAGAAATGGCCAGGCAAATGCAGTTTTGAATATCACGTTCCTTTAGGATTTTATTACTGATGAGAAAACCAGCATAGCTTTCATCCTATTGAGAATAAAAGCATTTTAGAAACTGTTTGGCTGAGTGTTCATCTGTCTTACCGAATGTAGAGTCTTCCATATGTGTTGTATTTCATTCTCATTCAAAGTTTAGTTTATGTTGATTAAAAAAGTGCTTTCTGAAAGTTTTCTAGCTTTCTGAAAATGCATTTTTTTCTGGGGAGGAGGAGATAACATTTAACATTTTGTTCAAAGCCCACAAACCTTATTGTTACTGAATTCAGGACAAAATGCTACCTTCCATAACACCGACTCATAAAACAGATCGAGCATCAAGGTGTCTCAGTTTTGGACACAGCCATCACCCAACAGTATCATCCCAGACAGTGCTGTCTGTATCTACATTACACTCACCGTAAAGTTGTCCTCTGCCTTGAAATGACTGTCCACATACACACACACACGGTCAAAGTCCTTCATCTCAGAGCTGGACTCGATGGCCCTACAATAGGAGGAAAAGTGAGAGTACAGGGGAAATAAACATCATTCTTCAGCCAAGCAAAACATAAAGAGCGCTTCTGAACACACAGACTAAAAGAACTGACCTAGTAGTGGGCGGTATGGCCGAAAATGTATATCACAGTAATATATATATATATATATATATATATATATATATATATATATATATAATATATACAGTGTGTGTGTGTGTGTTTTTTGCCCAGGAAATAACTGTGAGCCGGACTTGATTTTATTCCTTAGGATCTGAATGGAAAGAATGTCCGAAAACTAACAACAAGTCTGATTCTGATGGTCAGTCTGTTTGCGGAAAAGTCGAATAAAGAAATTTTGTCAAAAAGCAAAGTACTATATTATATTGTTTTTCTGTAGTTTCTGAAACACAATTCATTAATTGTTGAAAGCTTGATTTTAATCAGGAATTTAATTCAGGAAAGAAGAAGTCAGGTTATCGTTAAAATAAACCCTTGTATGAGTGAAAATACTGAATGAATGTGAGCAAAAGATGGACTGTGTGTGTGCATTTGCACACGTCGCCCTCATCGTTTGCTGACCTGCCTGACAGTGCGAATATTGCAAGATGTTTGAACCTCCTCACTTGTGTTAACATGAACATAAGTTTACCAGTGTAACAAACTGAAATAACTTATTAATAATTAGTCCAAAAGCCAAAGTGAGAGAGTCAAGTGAGGAGAAGAAAAGGATATTATAAATAAGCATTATAATTGCTTATTTGTGGCACACTGGTATAACGATTCTGACCAAGCTCAAACTGGGGGAAGAATTTTGACCGGTCCTGCAGATGAACTGGGATGCCCCCCACTAAAAAGCTGACCATTAATTTTAAAAAACAGTTTTAATGATATATTGCAATATACAATTATTTGAATTACACATTGTGTTATAAAAGTATATAAAAAATGAAAATCATGCTATTTAAAATTGATAAAAGTGTATGATTTTTAAACAGTTACAGTTGAAGTAAAGCTCACTACTACACTCAGCCTGCACAGACATGTTTATATTACAATCTGAACAGCAAACAGTCCTGGTTTTTCTTTAACTTTCATTTAAATTGTGGTTGATACTGGTACTGCAATTATACTACAAACTGTAATATATTAAATTTTCATACTGTTTCATCCCTACTTTGAACAAATTATAGACAGCTTAGCAGCAGAGCTGTCTAGAGGTCATGAGTTTGACCCTAGCTGAGAACATCTGTTACTGACATCATCCTTCAGTACCTAACCCCAAGTTGCCTAGAGACAGGACACCAGGCCGACCCCATACTCTGACCCTTCCTTTTGTCTGAAGACACTGCACAGGATATGCAAATAGTGCCTTAAATGAAAAACTTTAGCCAGTAAGCTGCTCAAAAGTCACAGCTGCACTGATTATTTGCTGCTTGTAGATTTCTCTACGGTTTTCCCATGAGCACTGTACAAAACAGCCTGCCGGAAGCGTCTTACACTGCTAACACTACTGATATTATTGATACTGCAGACATCAGTGTGGAGTTTGTGTTTAAGATTCCTTCAGGGATAAATAAATTCACAGCATAGCAGTAGCTGGACAGAACTTGGGTTTTATCAATAGAACTATCAATGGAACTTCTTGGTATTTAAAAGCTGTATTTGATGGAGAGGACTACAGTGGTGAAGTCATGGCAACAGCGTACGTGCAGCTGTGTTTCAGGCAGAAACTACAGGTGGTTTAAATTGTCAAACTTGGAAATTGTGTTAATGCCATTAACAAAACAACGGCCTAAATAATTTATGACGTTAACGCGTTATTAACACATTAACTACAATAGCGATTAATTCACGTTTTTGTAGCTACGCTATTTCACCAAAGGGCAGTCTTCAAATGCATGGAGTTAAACCTACCCAAAGAAGCTCTCAGCGTGGGCCATGTTGACCGTGTAGTCTTTCCCCCCCACCTCTTGGAAGTGCAGGGCAACGAAGCGGGGCTTGTATGTGTGCACAGTCTGTCAGACAGACAAAAGAAGAAATAATAAATAATGAAAAAAATTCATGATCATTTAGTCATCATTTTGAATGACTTCAAAAGCTCGGAATTAATTTTCAACAACATGAAACCAATTTGGTTGCAGATAAATGTGTGCTTGTAATATTCTAGCCCTGCACAACTTCACATAATTAGGAGCTAGAAAGCTGTTTAAAAATAACAACAACAAAAAAAAACACATTTTATTTGTATGGAAAAATGAAGAGCAGAGCTGTAGATCCTGGTCCTGGAGATCGACCACCCTGGAGAGCTTAGATCGAAAACACCTGACCTAATGTTCTGATGCCCCTGAAGATCTTCATCAACTTTAACAAGTGTGTTAGTTTAGGGTTGGAGCTAAACTCTGCAGGGTAGCAGATCTCCTCCAGGGGCAGGATTGAGCACCCCTGCTGTATAACCTGCTGATAATGTTGAGAAAAAAAAATCCAGAATGCATCATATTTCAAGTGTGATCATTAAAAAACAGACAGAAAACTAGTATTTATTATTATAACTATATTTACACACAATATTCATATACTCTATACTGTATAAGGTATTATGGTATATTTAATGTATTTCATTTAATTACATGAAAATTTACATGAAACATTATTCCACACTTCTAAATGCACCTGTCTGTGTTTGCATATTTAATATGCTTTCTATAAAAGCTCCACTTGGCAGACTATATCTGAGCAAGAATTGCTGGCCATAAATGTAACAAAAGCCTGTCTGTTAAACAGCGTTATTGCATGATCACTTGACTGCTGGCAAACTCACCGTGAAGAACTCCCGGAGCCAGTCGCTCTCGATTTCGCCGAGCTGAGGGACAGAGAATTTGATTTTAGTCTCGGAGCACTTTTACAATGAGGCTGTAATGAGTTTAAAGCTCAGCCCAATTCCACAAAGGCCTTCTATCAGTAATTTGGCCAGAAGGCCACAAACTTCAACTGTCAGATCCCCATTTTCACCTCAGCCAATAAAGGACAAACCAACTGTGAAACATTAGCACCGACACCAAGCGCCTTCAGTTAACTTTTAGTCAAACAAGAGTATGAATGTCTGCTGGTCACTGAAGGTAAATTCCACTATTTTTTTCTGTATGATTCAGTCATTGAGGCATAAATAGTGGTTTGGTGTGAAATAGTTCATTGTAAAGAAACTTACTGACTGATTTTATACTGGTGGTGATATGAACCAGGTGTCAAAATGCAAAAATAACCCCAAAAAATGTTGATTATAGTAAAATAGTGGTAAATATGAAAAAAATATTAACCAAGGTTAATATAGTTAACTAAAACTATTACTCAAATGAAAAAATGTGCTTGTTAACTGTAATAAAAATAAAAAATGACCATTTTCAAAAACATAAAAACTAAATTAAAACTATAATGCCTGCTGCAAAACCAACTAAAACTAAATAGAATTACTAATTTAAAAACTTTACTTTTTGTTTTTTTCAGTGCGTAAATGAGAGTTTAGAAGTAAATTCGGCTGTCTTCAAGAAAAACCGGAGCTGAGCTGAGTTCAGTCTACTGTTCTTTTATTCTGCCTTTATCAAAGATCTACTATTACAGCATTCATTGTAACTATTACTATTATTTCTTAGAAAATAAAAACAAAACTAAAACTATTAATGCACCTTTAAAACTAAACTGAATTTAAAAATCAAAATGATAAACTAGAAATAAAAATGAACAAATAATTAATTCCAAAACTATAATAACCCTGGGACATACCTCTGCCATTAATATATTTTTTAAAAAGTTTTCAAAAAACTTTATCATTGCTACTTTGATATCTAGTAGTGAATATTGACTCTATACTGTATCTATTGTGAAGAGCCCTATAGGCATATCTTGGGCTTTTTGAACATAGTTCTTATGTTCTATGTGTTTACTTGTTAATAAAAATATTGATCACAAAAAAAGAATTATATCGCAAAACTCTCAGGCATCAGGCTGTGTATTTGTGACCAATCCATGTAATAGCTTTCTGTGAGGGAACTTTCTGTGTTTAGAGGCATTAAATGCTTTGGATGTCTGGTTCCACTGTGAACAATTCTGACTCGTTATTGTTCTCTAGGACAGAGCATTTCACATCAAACTGCTCTGAATGGTTTTGTTTTCATCTGAATTATGCAGACATTTTGCAAAATTGCTAAAAACGGCAGCATAAACCAGCGCTGACGTACTGAAAATTCAGTGCTTTTTCAATATTATATCATGGTAAACAATTCAATACTCCAACCTTCAATCCTTTCAATTCAATTGTAAAACAGGTTAACACTGACACTGTATACAGCCCATTAGCAAATCAAATAGCACATGTTAAATAAATTCAGAAGGGCAGGGACATGACCATTACCTACATACAAGTGAAAACATATACACAAGTTTTATTTAGTAACTTAGGTATAACCTGTTTTTGCTCTTAGGCAATAGAGAGAATGATGAATCCTGGATGGTCTTTTTCAAATGAAATTCAGTTACTTGTATTGTTACTTGCAAACAGTTAGTTTTGCATTGATAAAAGACTCACAGTAAAAAAAAGAGTCAGTGTTTTAACTTTAAAAAATAGATTATTGTTCTGTTACTTTTTATTAGAAGTTTAATTAACTCAAAATTTGAAGACACTGAGTTTACTGACTTTTAAGTTAAAACAGTCTTTTTTTCAGTGCTGAATTATTCATTCATTCATTCATTTATACTCTAAGCCACTTATCCTCCTGGGTCGCAGGGGATGCTGGAGCCTCTTCCCACTGGGCAGAAGGCAGTAAACACCCTGGACAGGTCATGAGTCCATCACAGGACAGACATACACACATTCACACACACTCACACCTAGGGGCAATTTAGTATCTCCAACTGGCCTGACTGCATGTCTTTGGCCTGTGGGAGGAAACCCACACACACATGGGGTTAACATGCAAACTCCACACAGAAAGGACCCTGGTCGCCCAGCTGGGGAATCAAACCCAGGCCCTTCTTGCTGTGAGGCAACAGCGCTAGGCAATGACACACATCTTATTCAACCAACCTGTGCTAAATAGCATTAATTAAATGTTAATTAACAATTTGAATATTTTAAATATTTAATATTTTAAAATATTGATTCCAAACACTGTACTGTTTTGGAATCAAGCATTTTAATACTTTGCTTGATATCAGTGCCAAAGGTCTGGTATTGTGACGTCCATACTAAAGATAAGACATCACATACAACCAGTCCTGATGCCATCTTCAGGATCCTCTTAAAGTATTTCAGTTATGACAACAAATGCTGTTTTCACACGTCAACAGTCTGAGTCTCAAAAACCAGACAGGCAGCAATGCAACAATCAGATTTGGTTAAGACACCTTCAAGTTACAAAAACTAGTAACAAAAATGTTTAGTGCTTGACAAAAATGTTTGATGTTCTTCAGAAATAAACTACTAATACACTGTTAAAAATGAGAGGTCAGCTCAACTCAAAACGATATAGTAACTGATTTCATGGCTTTTCTTGAGTTGACTTAACTCAGACTTCTTAGTTGAGTCAAACGTTCCCTTAATTTTTCAGTTCTACATCTCAGTTAGGTAAATAAAATGAACTTGCTTTTTTATACTCAACTTCCTCACTAGCTAGGACTCTTTCCATCACATAACACTGCTAGACATTTTTCCTTACTTATGATGGCTATGGCATGACCGGGGCTCAAACCCACAACCTCCTGTTGGGGTGACAGGTTTGTCCACTGCACCACACAGGAACACATGAAGCAACTCAGATTTTGTGTCTACAAATGTTTAATACACTGGAAAAAACATTTGTTGCTTTGACTTTAAAGCATGGTATAGCCTCATGTGGTACAACTGTCTGATTCATGATGATTCATCCCAACATCAGGAGATTATGAGTTTGCATACCTTAATAAGCAATAACTTAGGTGTCCATATATGCATATATGGAAGCCCAAGAGGAAACCAGTGCCAGATGGGACTATGTGATGGAAGGCATGCCAGCTAGTGGGGAAATTGAGTAAAAGAACACAAATTCAGTTTTGTTTTTCTACCTGAGATAGAGAAACTAGAAACAGTAGCTGGGAGAACTTTTAACTCCACTAAGAAGTTTGAGTTGGGTGAACTCTGGTGTCCTCAAGTTGAGTCAACTCAAGAAAAGCCATGTAATTAGTTACTAAGTCATTTTAAGTTGACTTGACCTCTCATTTTTACAGTGTTTTAATAAATCAAAGGCAACAGATTCACACATAAGATCATTCAGTTTTGATGAAGATTCTGACATTCACCAGTGTTTTCTTATTCAGGGTTTGTTCTTAGGTAAGAACGGAATCTACACAATCTCAAGAGCACAAAGGTGAGAACAGTTCTGCGCTTTAAAAACGCGTCATGAATCTGACATAGACTTTTTCTTAGGAACCTTCTCAACAACACATTTAAGAACAAACTTAGGAAGCTGTTGGGGAATGAGGCCCATAGTTAGTAGACGGATTTCAAGAAATGAATGAATGAACTGAATTGCAACTCAATTTGATCTGATTTCATTATTCTGGTGTTAAATTATTTTTGGCATATACTGATAGGCCCAAATTTACACAAGAAGCTATACAGTCATATGCAAAAGTTTGGGCACCACTGGTCAAATGACTTTTTGTTGATTTTCTAAGTGAAAATCAGTTAAAATATCACTTCACAAAACTTCGGCACATGCACAATTTACAAAAAATAATGCACAATTACGGTTTATTTCCTGAATTTAACTTATGGGGAAAAAACAAAACATAAAATGTGGTCTGTGCAAAAGTTATGGCACATTTTAGATTTCGTTTTTTCGATATTTTTTCATATTTGTTAACGTCTTTTCACTACGAGTGTGCCTGTTTTGCAAACATTAAAGGGTCTATATTATGGAAAAACAACTTTGCCTTGTGTTTTTTGCCTTGCTTTGTTTTATGTAGTACGTAAACATTGTTAGAGTTTGAAAATGTACTGGTCCATACAGTCCATATAACAGCCTGGTTTGTATTCATTATTTTTGTGATGTCATAAAACCCAACACATTTACATATATTAGCCGATAGCACTTTAGCTCCACTTTTTCACACTGATGTTGCAAGGAGTGTTTCAGCGCTGACTGCTTTTTCGAACATAACACAAAACAGGACAGCCGACCAAAACAGAAGCCATTTACAAAATGTAGTATATGTGCCCTTTAAATGCATTTAGAGTTAAGAAGCAGAATTTGGTTAATGCTTATTAACTAGTTAGTGACTTTAATTTCATTACTGTTATTGAACGTTAGCACTCCAGCTGGTACTTAGTGCTGGCTGATAGACCTCTGACCTTGTGAATGAGTGAGAAGGCGAGAGAGAGAAAGAGATAACAATACTGAGTCTTAGTGACAAGTTTGTTGTGAAAAAAGTGATAAAGGAACACCATTTAAATTGAGTAGCCTCAAATCTTTCTCTCTCCTCTCTCTCTCTGCCTTTATCTCTCTCTTGAATCAGAAGAGTTGTACGAAATGGAGGACTGAATCACTTTCTCTCCCTTCTTTCTCTCTTTCTCACATACACATAAATTTTTCAGTGTGAACTGCACCATTTTAATAAACTTATACAATGCAGCAGTAATCTGCAAACGGTATTTAACTCTTATCCAAGCGATTTCGGCCTTCAGAGAAGTAAAATGTGGATTTACTTGTCTAAAGGACAAGTCCTCCAAATTTTTTTACGTCAAGCCCTGCAGCTATTACGCTACTCTACAGAACATGACATATGGCAACTGGGTTCATTAACAAGTCCAATACATCACCCTCATCACTT